TGTTGGAGGAAAAATATTTTCCCGAGATTAATAACTAGGAAAATGCACGGGTTCTCTATATGAATTAATAAGTATATTTAGGTACACATTTTTAATGTCATTGTTCCCCTATTCCCATATGAAAAATATAAACAGTCTCTGTTTCTACAAAATTTTCTCCTTAGGTACCTACATATGTATATAATTTAAGCATTCACATATAAAATCAATAAAAATATGTCGTCTATAGGTAACTATTTATCAGCCATTACAGATATGTATACACAGTATACGATCATAATCTGATAAGGTGATAACTTTGTGGTGATAACCGCAATCAAGACGTGTGATATGCATTTCAATCCTATTCAGTTTAGATGAAGTTACGTGTCTGAGCAATAAACATTGCCAATGGTCCAAGTCAGAAATTCCGAGTTTAAGCCAGAAACTTCGGGTTTTCAGAAATTCCGAGTTTAAGCCGGTAACCGAATTTAAGTTAGACATTCCGAGTTTAAGTCAGAAATTCCGAGTATAAGTCGAAATTTCCGAGTTTAGTTTAAGTCGGAAATTTCAGAAAAAAAACTAGTGGCCCTTCTACGCTTTCGTAGATTGAAGTTTTGTCGTTTTTCCCGTGTAAAAGTTCGGTAAGTAGCGCTGTGGCGGAATCAGGAAACTCAATAGTTTTTGAGGCCACGCGTGTAGCCGTGAAGGAGCAGTTCACAGTCATCGAAGATTGAGGAGGACGTGATCAAATATAAAGTACTACAGCCTCAATTACAACCAGTCTACCAAGCAAATACCCGGTATAAATCCCGCATCCCGCCTTATAAAGAAAATGCAGAAAATGCAAACTTTCTCACATCTACGTTGTTACGAAGACTGGTCGTGAATACATATACCACTCATATCGGTACCAACCAGACAAAATCCAAACTTTTAAAGTAATTATAAATCGAAAGGCACAAAATAAATAGAAACGTTAGTTTCATATCTATTAAAAGCGGAATATTAAACTACCAATTAACACTGCTATAAATTTGTATTAAAACAGTTATAATACCTATACACAACAATTTGTCGAGTTAATTTAGCAGCAACCAATTTTTATATTAATAGTAGCAATAAATTGTAATAATTAGACTTCGTACGACGCGGAGTCTAACAGGACCGGCGCGGCGCGGCGGCAGATTATGTACCCTTACAGCAATTGCGAAAGGACATACATCACTTTATACAGTGGTTCAGATAATACATTATACATTGCGATATAACAGTAATAGTAAATATTAAAGCTCAAATATACAAATAAGATAACACAAGATAGACAATTTTATTATCCATTTGTCCTGCACAGTTTGACTGGCGTATTAGGGGTGATCACGTTTTTTTACTTGGACTCATTTGTTTTCGCTTTAGGTCATTTTGTGCCTACCTACTAACTGCCGTATCTTGCTACTAGCTTACAAAGAATCAGCGCCATCTATCAATAGAGGTACGAACTAGGAGGATCAAGAATTGTTTCTCGATACATGAAAATGGACAAAAGGAATTTTCCTATTTGAGTACAAGCGAACCTGAGAAACAAATCTAAAGTTCCATTTTACTATGTTCAAAATATATTCTAAAATATTCTATCTAGCAGGTTCCAGTATTTAATATGAGGGATTCAGAGAAAATTTCAAACATTCCTTGAGCTACCTATTTTATAACCTTCTGGAACATTGTGAGAACGACCTTTTTAAACTTTAGAATTTTCTACAATCTGCCACTTACTTTTAGAAGTTGAAGTAACACTCCAGAAATTTCTGTAATATTGTAGACGCTTCTTAGGATGTTTGAAAACATCTTCCTGCACATTCTAACTTGTTCTATCAATTTCCACAATCTTTCATAGACTTGTAGGGCTGTTTATCATTGTTCTTACTTATTTACGCAACAACATCAACAGTTTGAGTAGGACATATTGTAATCTGTTTTACTTAATCATCGATAAATATGATAGTCAAACTGTGCAGGAAAAATTAAACTAGTATTAGTTTTAATTTCAATATATTACCTACAAGCAACTGTCTATTTGCAATCAGGAAGTATAAGGTTTGAATGCTAATTCCTTGACGAATAATTCTGGGAAGACATTCAACAACCTGACTCCGGTCCTGTTAAATTCCGCGCTGTACGAAGTCTAGTAATAATATATCAGCTCATGTTATTTTTCAAAATAAAAAATGGTTCAAAATAAAATTCATCACATACTTCTAGCGTAGATTGTTGGTCCGCATAAAGACGAAGAATTGACAACGTAAGTTTCATAAGATACATACCTAGTTTTAAATTGCTAATAAAACCTACACGTGGATCATTCTACCCTCCTTCCTAAGAAGTGGAAAATTACATACACGATCTAGAACTAACCTTGACAATTACTTACATACGAGTACTATTATTTTTCATCTGCATTAAGTAAGTATAGGAATAAATGCATATAAATAAAGTAAATACATATTTAAACTTATTTAATACACTTGGAAGGATTTGGTGAAACATATACGCCGGGAAAATTTATTGGACTTATCACGAATTTCTATAGCTAACAGCTGCTACCGACCCTGGCCGTGGCCGTGAACACAGGTGCTAATTTGGCTCGTCTCTATATTTCTACTTTATATTAACTAACCCAAGTGTACCTAACCTACATTGTAAGTTTGAAAAAATACCTAATTTAGTCCACCTCCAAGTATTTTGTGAACGAGAAGTTAGACATTATAATAATAGGTGAGTAGTAGGTACATAAATAAGAACATTCTTATTTTCAGTATCAAGTTCGATATTTTATTATGTATAAATGGTCAATTACCATTAAGTACGTACGTAGGTACTTAGCCTTTGGCGGCTCCTTTCTATAGCCATGGATATCTAACAGATGACAATGCAGATCTCTTGAGTTACAAGTATAATAAAGACATAATACAGGATTATTAGAAGTTGTAAAAGTGCCCCTACTAGAGTTTCAATACAATCTAGAATCTAGATCAAAATGTTCATGAAGTACACTTTTCAATAATAAAACAATTCTATTTCAGAAGCCAAATATAATAACAGGACCAACATTAACAGTAACCCTAAAAGGGTACCAATGATCAGCAGATGGTGCCAATAAAGTCGTTATTTTAATGTTCACGCCAAAGTTCATTACAAATAGATTTCAGAAACTTGTCTGACAAACTGTAAAGACATTTTATTCGAACATTGAATGCCTACAGTACAGAGAACCTGAAATAAATTTCAGCCTGATGACTTTGTTTTAATTCCAAGCGTATTTAGACCATGTAGAGGCCAGCGCCTCTGTTTTTGGGTCCATTTTTTTCTCGTCTGGCATTTGGAGGTCAGAAAAAGGTGAAAAATTTGATTAAGATAAGGGTGGTTTTAAAGGTTGCCTCCCGTTCGAAAATTTGGAAAACCGATTTCCATTTGCAAAAAAAAATTGTAAAAGTACTGATCTTAAATCGTCTGGCATTTGGTGTGGAGATAGACATTGATAAGGTATTATCAAATACTAAATACCAGACAGTTTGCAATGTTCGAAATTGTGAAAAGCTGGGGTGAACTTGCAAAAAAAATGAAAAATTTCCCTGATTGCTTTTTGTCTGGCAGTCGAAACAATGAAAGATTGTGTTATAAATACGCTACAAAAAAAATGCCAGAAGGTTTTCTCTGTTCGAATCCGAGTTTTCGCCGGAATATTATGTGAAAATTTTTACAATTTTTCACTGATCTGAATTAGCCTGGCAAACTCATAGTCTCAGTGAATATGTATGATGTTTTAGTAACTGCAATGCCAGACAAATTCAGATCAGTGAAAAATTGTAAAAATTTTCACATAATTTTCCGGCGAAAACTCGGATTCGAACAGACAAAACCTTCTGGCATTTTTTTTGTAGCATATTTATAACACAATCTTTCATTGTTTCGACTGCCAGACAAAAAGTAATCAGGGAAATTTTTCATTTTTTTTTGCAAGTTCACCCTGGCTTTTCACAATTTCGAACATTGCAAACTTTCTGGCATTTAGTATTTGATACCACCTTATCAATGTCTATCTCCACCCACACCAAATGCCAGACGATTTAAGATCAGTACTTACACAATTTTTTTTTGCAAATGGAAATCGATTTTCCAAATTTTCGAACGGGAAGCAGCCTTTAAAACCACCCTTATCTTAATCAAATTTTTCACCTTTTTCTGACCTCCAAATGCCAGACGAGAAAAAATCGACCCAAAAACAGACGCGCTGGCTCATGGTCTAATTTGAGCTAGTCCATACTATGAGCTGAATTCGAAATTTCGTCAACAACACCAAAATATTAGCAATTCCATTAGATTTTTTATTTGCCAAAAAAATATTTCAACCTTGTGCTTTGTTGCCACATGATTCTGACGTTTCCTAATATAAATCCAGAGTATCAAATTGAGACGTTAGTCGCTAATTTATTACGAAAAGGTCAGAATTTGGCGAAAGTTCGGTAGTCATCAGCTGTTATATAGAATCTAGTTTGAACCAGCTGACATCAAACGTTTCTTAATAAAAATTATTCTCTGAATGACATTTATTTACAGCATTTTATTCAACAGATATGACCTTGGTGGAAGTTTATGCTTTTCTTTGTAGACCAATTTTGCGTATTACACTCTTTGGTTGTCCGAGTTAGGTATTTTGCTTTACTGTATTTATGTGAAATAAAAGTATTGTCCTTGTTTGCATAATGGCTTTCTGTGAAAGTATAGGTACCTGCGTGCGGATTATGTATCAAAAGTTGTATCAATTTACGTATGAATAGTAACTACTTACGTAAAACACCTCCTTTCAGATTGCTATAAAAAATTCTGAAGTACTAACCTTGCCTTAAATCAGAACAAATACAGTTTATAAACATATTTATAATGGAGACATATCCATCTACTCATCATAGTATGGAAATAAATATGTTATTTCTAAATATAATAATTATTGTAGGTGATCCTAT